TAAAAAGATGAAATATAGCCAATTTTGGGGGAAGTTTAAAATATAGCCAGTTTGTCGTGTAAATGACACAATTATCCTTACTATCAGAAACTTACGTGGAATCTGTGACTCCATTAATGAGAAACGGCCAGAAATGATATCTGGAGTTCCATATATCGCATAAACTCTTTATAGTAGTAAGTACTAAGTAGTAAGAGTAATTGTGTCATTTCGTCAGGGGCGAAGCTACATGTAATGAAGGGGGGCAATTGTCCCCCCTCAAATTTTAATTTTTTTGCTATTAATATTACAAATTTAAATTTCCCTCCTGTAAATTTATTTTTGCACCCTCTTATTTTTTATTAAACGTCACTCACCAGGTCAACTTGATCACAATTTTCAATTAACAATTAAACAGTTCTTCTATATTTTTACTATTAATTTTGTATATTAATTATTATCTTTCTACAATTTTAATTAGTCCATAAAAAGATTTCAACTCTCTTTTATTGCCCAAGCTAGGGCTGATATTTTTTGACCGAAAACCGATAATCGAATCAAACCGAACCGATTAAAAAAATAAATCGAACCGAACCGACTTATTTGTAACGGTAACCGATTTCGGTTACCGAAATGTTACCAATTTGAGTATCGGTTCTGAACCCATTATGCCATGTCTTTTGCCCCTCTCAACTAATTTTCTGGTTTCGCCCTGCATTACGTGGCAGAAATGACTATATTTCATTGAAATCAACATTGTGGCTATATTTTCATTTTAGAAAGTGAAGAAAAAAAAAAGCTGAAAAAAAGTGGGACTGCAGAAACCAACTTAAAATTCGTCGGTTAGTTCCAAATGTGGCTTAGTAAAATTTTGGATTTTTTATTTTTATTTTTTTTCAGATATGGGACGTGTTGTCGAACGACGAGGTTGTACAGATAGTCGGGTCGTCAAGGAGGCGGGCCGTTACAGCTAAGATGCTGGTGGAGCAGGCCCGGTGGGCATGGAGATACAAGTTCCCACGGTCCAAGATCGACGATTGTGCAGCCGTGTGCCTGTTCTTCAAGAGCCAGAGGCCTTTCCTATCAAAATCCGTCTCTGAAAAGACGCATTTGTCCCTGAACTATGCCGAACTCGACGTGAGAAGCTATGCCGGCAGCATGCAGAGTAACGATGCCCTCGACACGGTCTTGAACTGCAAAGTCGATGAGGAAAGCCCGGCCCGAGATGAAAACGGGCCTCCCGACGAGAAGGGTTCATCTGGTTTGGTTCGTCCGAGGAGGAAGAGGCACGAGAGGGAGCTGAAGGATGTTGAGGAGTGACTAGGAATGGGCCCGGCCCGGCCCGGCCCATTTGTCTTTTCATGTGATCCAGAGACAAATGAACTGTCTTTTTTTTTGGAGTTGAAGTTTGTAACAGGGTTTGGTTTAATCTCAGTTGTGTATATTGATGCTTTAAATTTTTATTTTTTTTATTTTTTTTTTTTTTTCTACTGGTTTTAGTGTGTTGTTGATACTAAATGTTTTACTGTTTATGATAAATGTTTTTGAGTTCTTTAGTTGAAGTTGATTGAAAACATTTAACTTTAAATTTGTCCCATAGAGCTCAAGATTGCTACTTAGTACTTCCTCTGTTCTTTAGTTGAAGTTGATTGAAAAAATTTGACTTCAAATTGTCCCCTTATGGTTAAATAGAGCTCAAGATTGCCACTTCTGTGTTCTTTAGGGCGGGATTGCTAACCGATCAAAACCGACTATTACAGAGTTGTGTGATGCACGGGGTGCACAATTTTAAGGTCATTTATCCAACCTTATAATTATATAAATGAATAAAGAAAAATGTACGGGATATATATAGTATGTGACATGTGCGAGGCACGAGATATATTTATTTGGGGATTATTATATTATAAGATGCAATATTCAATAAAAGGTTTACAATACGCACGAAAATTGTACAATAAAATAGTATTCGACAAAAAAAAAAATCATATATTATTAAAGACTTTCTTGTATGTTAGCGCAACGGCTTTCGCGCTAGTTGCTCAATCAACATTATGAGTTTGATTATTGGAAACTCCTCATTCTCACAAGCTAATATTTTCAACCCCTTCTGTTAGTTACACGCGAAACAACAACATATCATTGGCCATGACTAAAGACAGGTTTATTTAGAAAAAACCAACGTGGGATAAAGACTATCCCTAACTCTTGTTTATGGTCATGACATACGAAACATGTACAAAAATATCTAAACACATACACGAAAATATAAAAAAAAATTAAAAATATACGTTTCAAAGTTCGAAATTAAAAAAAAAATCAAACAATTTGGCTTACAGTTTTATCATGCAGAACCAACTCGAAATATGATTTGTATGTGCTGCCCCAGTCTTGGAAAAACATTCTCACAGTTCGAACTCTGAGCATAAGTCTATTAGACCTATTGACTTGTTTGATTAAGCCAAATCTTTTTTTTTATTGTTTTGAATAAAAGTCTGATTCGGGATATTTTTTATTCGCATGATATTGACAGTGAGGAAGATAATGGCTCGATATTTTGAGATTTATAATATATAATTGGTAGAGTAGATATATATTGCTGTTAATATTTTTATGAAAAAATCTGATTATACAAAAATAAATCAGTACAGATTTTCATACAATTAGATAATAAATAAAGCCTTTTTTATTTTAGTAAAGATTTTACGTATTTTTTTTTTTACTTATCGGATGTTATGAGATTTTTTATTCTTAAACCGATTTTATGGGATATAAGACAAATACAATTAGATGATTGAACAAAATCAGAACAAATTTTCATACAATTAGATAATAAGAAGGAATAGATAAAGAATTTTGAATGTGCCTTTTTTAGTATAGATATAAACTTTACGTATAATTTTTGACTTCATCGATTTTATTGGATTTGTTTTTTACTGAATCGATGTTTTGACGTAAAGATTTTAGGTACTTTTTTTTAATAAAATAAAATAAAATAAATAATTATATAAAAATAAATAAAATAATCATATAATTTTTTTTAGTAAAGATATTACGGAATTTTTTTTTCTTGAACTTATTTTATGGAATATAAGACAAATAAATAAAATAATTATATAAAATTCTGGATAGAAATAGCAATACATTAATTACGATTATTTTTCAACCTACTAAATTTGGTAAATAAAATACCTTATTATATAAGTATAAATTTTGACCGATGAAATAATATTTATTTTTTTACCTCAAAATTCAACTCAACGCTATTCAATTAAGTAATACCATCAATCATCCTCACGATTACATCAATTTTCAATTTTAATTCTGTATCATCCATATCATCCACTCGCTAATTTTAACGTAAATATCATTTTCATTCACATAGTATCTCTCCTACTACTTTAAAACTACATTTTAAGTATTATTTCAAGTTCAAAATCTCACTCAATCTTCTACTCCAATTTAAAAGTATTCTCAAAATCCAATCAGGCCTGTAAATCTCTGGTTTCTGGAGATTCTCAGCTGCAACATAATACAAGAACTTCAATGGTGCCACATTGTGTATTTATTGCATACTATCAACCAAGACAAGCAAAATGCCCGCCCACATGATGGACAAAACACAAACAAACTCGGGCATTATTACAACACAGAACAAACTCGCATTATTACAACATGGACGAAGACACGAGCGAACACGATATTATTACAACATGGACAGACACTAGCAAACTCGACATTATTACATCATGGACAGAATACTAATCCCGCAATCAGTCCTCCTGGTCCCACAAGTCGGCCACGCTTCTAAAAGGTCCATCCGTCTTGTTCACGAAAAGTTCCTCACCATCCAAAACACGCTTCTGCACATACGAAAGCACAATTCCCCAAGTCAAGCATAAGTTAATAATAAAAAAAAAAAAATTGTTAAAAATAAAACCATTAGACGCGCCTGATCCTGGATTGTGCAAAGAGCTTGAAAATCCTGATCTGGCAAAACCCAATTGAAAACGTGTATATTCTCGTTGATCCTCTCGGGATTGTTCGATTTCGGGATTGTGCTGGTTCCCCTCTGGATGGCCCACCTCACGAGCACTTGCCCGGGACTCTTGTTAAGCTTTTTCGCTACTTTTTCAACGATCGGATCGTGGATTAGGTCCCGCCCGCCTTCCTGTGAGCCTAAAGGCGAATACGCCTTTCAATGTGAAAGGGGGAAAAAAGAAGAAGTCTTAGTTGATTTGGCAACTTGAGATTCTTGAACAAATATCGGATTTTCTTTTCTTACAGTGACGTGAATGTTGTTCTTCTTGCAGGCCTCGAGCATCTTGTCGTTCCTCCACCCGGGATGCATTTCCATCTGCAAAATACTTTTTTTGATAAGTTTGATAAGCGGATATTCTTTTTCATCAGCATAGTGAACTTATGATATTCTTACTTGGCACACGGAAGGTTTGATCTCGGCAAAACTCAGCAGCTTATCGAGCTTCTTCATAGAGAAATTACAAATGCCGATATCCCGTACAAGATTTTCCTTCACCAGCTTCTCCATTTCCCTCCAAACTCCTACCATGTCGAAATCCAAAACGTCACCTGCTTTGGGAGGCCTGCTAGCTCCATCTCTAAGCCGAAATGGCCAGTGTATCTTTTTTTTCCCCATCAAAAGAAAAGGAAAAAGAATTAATCAAGACACCAAAGGTATAGTCTTTCTTTGGTAAATAGTGTTTTTGGGACCAAATTAGAAGTTTGAGGTAAGATATTGAGTTTTCGACCCTGTCATAGCCTCTATTTTTTAAAAAGCTCAATATATATAAGCTTTTTAGAATTGGTGATTGTGATGTTAGTTATTCTCACAAGGTGTAAACAAGTCGAGCACTGCTTGAGCTCATGTTGCTCGAGCTCGAGCTGAGCTCGGTTTGTTAACTTTGCGAGCTTATAATCGATCTCGGCTCATTAATCAATATCAACGAGCCAAAATCGAGTTGAGCTATAGAAATTACATAAAAATCATCTTTTCGAGCCCTTAACGAGCCTTATCAAGTCAAGCCTAGAATGAGCTTTAAATGAACTCGAGCTTGAGCTTTATAAGCTCTACTCACGCTTCACATAGCTAAGCTAATTACACATAGCTAGGCTAATTAATCACTAAATACTTTTGCATAAGCTAATTCAATCAGCTAGACAAAACCAAACTCAAACTGCTATAGCTAATTCAATCAACCATCAGTTATCTCCAAAGTGCCAAACAAAAACCACAATCAATCTACCAAAAATTGAACTGCAACCAAACATAAACACCAAAAAGTTAGTAGAAATCTTACGAGATAGAGGTCGAGATAATCAAGCCCTAATTCCTTAAGTGTTTTCACAAGCGCCGGACGAACCCTCTCGGGTGATAAATCCGTGCACCTGCGTTATTGATTAGCCTGATATAAGATGCCGCGACAAAAAGAAAAATAACAAAGAA